CGGGCGGGGCTGACACCAGCTGCACGCAGCAAACGCTGTGGCCCCATCTCTCCCTGTCCTTAAGTCGGGCATGTCCCTCTACAGGAGGAATATTCACAAATAGTCAAAAAGTATTACGGGGACGATTTTTTCAATTATTTTTGTCATGTCTGCATATTTTGAAACTATTTGTTTTTGTTTCGTCCAGGATCCGCCTGTAGGAGGACATGCCCGACCTAACCCTATCCCCCCTTTCGTCCGACCCGAACTGAATACCAAGCTTCGCAAGAGCGCTCCGACCCCACCAGCCCTCTGGGCGTAGGTGGTTTAAGAAACTCTTGTCTCCTCTCCTTTTCCACAAATGTGTCATACCCTGCTCGGGGGAGGGGTTTACCCCTCCCCCTACCCCACACCGTAACACTCCCCCCTGTGTCTACTGTTCGCCTTTCTTTACGCAGTGACCATTCGACGAATTTACGTCTTCGTAGCCTGTAGACTATTCGACGAATCGCTTTCTTCTCGTGGCTTTGATTTGCCGCGTCATTTGCGGACATTTGCTGAGGTGTCTCTACTAGCTGTCCCCCTCATATTGTTACATACTGGTACGAAGATGTCGATGGTTTTGCAGAATGTTGGGCCCTGGGAGGGGTCCGGAAGAATCGCGGGAGGGGTTCGGGAAGGTCCCTCGGGGAGTCCGGGATTGCAAAAAAAACCTCGTCCAGGGTGTTTTTTTGCAATCAATCGTCCAGGTTTTTTTTTGCAATCGTTCTTGGGAATCTCTTGGAGCCTTCCCGGGCGCCTCCTGGGAGCGTCAGCGGCCGTCTTGGGGGGCCACCTCGGGCAGTCTTGGGGCTCTCTTATGGGGCGCCTTGGAGCCGGCCTGGGCCGTGCTGGGGCCGTCTGGAAGGTCTGGACGATGCTCCGCGTTGGGGCGGCCCCGATTGGCGCTCGATCGATTCGGACGCATCGGGGGCCCCTCTTTGAGCCACCGGAGGGCGTCTGGGCCTTTCGTGACCACCTTTGGGCAGCCGAGATTGGCATGCTCATGCTGGGGACCTTCCTGGAGCCACTCGCTCCATTCGTGCGTCGAAGCTGCGTCGAACCTGAGTCGAACCTGAGTCGAAGCTGCGTCGAACCTGCGTCGAACCTGAGTCGAATCTGAGTCGAATCTGAGTCGAACCTCAGTCGAACTTGAGTCGAACCTGAGTCGAACAGATCCGTTGGGTGGGCCCCAAGAAGGTCCCCCAAACGAGCATCGAACAAGATGGCTCCGAGAGAGCTCCAGTTAGCCCGAGATGGCTTCCAGGATGACCCTGGACGGTCTCCAACATGCGTCCAAGGGGCGCCCAGACGGCCACAGAGCTCGCCAAGGAGGCACCCGAGAGGCGAACGTCTGAAGGGGCCCTGGGACACACAAACAAATACACACAAAGAACTGGATCCCCCATATTTTCTTATATTTTCTGGGTCTTTGTCTTCCCCCCCACTTCCCATATTTTTCCTATATTTTCCTGGAAGTCGACGATTAATTGTGTCTGTGTGTTTCTTTCCCTCCTGAGCGTCATAACACATGCTGTGTGCTTCAATGTGTTTTCTGGCTTCGCAGGCTTCCCAGCTTTTTGTTGCTTCTGCTGGGCGTCGGCGGCCTCAGGGTGGCTCCGAGACGGGCCTGCAGGGGCGCAGGATGGCTTCGAGAGACGGCCCCAAGACGGGCCCAGGATGGCCCCTAAGATGGCCCCTAAGATGCCCCCCCGAGGCGACTTTTTGGAGGCCCTCGGGGGCGAGGGACCAGCCCAAGACCTCCAGCCCGAGGCCCCAAGACGGCCCCAAGATGGCCCCTAAGATGGCCCCAAGATGGCCCCCCGAGGCGACTTTTTGGGAGGCCCTCGGGGGCGAGGGAGACCAGCCCAAGGCCGTCCGGACGTCAGGAAAACGATGGGGGGCCCTCCGACAGGCGTCTGGGGCGGGCCGCCCGGGGGAGGCAACGGGCGGGACAACTCTGTCGTCGGGTGGAGGGGTCTGCCCGCTCTCCATTAGGGAACGTCCCTCCCCTGGGCCTGGACGGGGCGCCCCGCGAGGGGCTCGAGCGTGCAGGATGGCCGAAGATGGCTCCAAGAGGGCCTCAGAGAGCGCAAGATGGCCTCCAAGATGGTCGCCTCCAAGATGGTCCGAGATACGTAACCACCGAACATGGCGCCAGATAGTAGCCTCCGACACACCTCGACGCAGCCTCAAGACGGCCCCAAAGCGGTTTCGAGTGCCCTCCCAGCCCTCCCAGGACCCCCTCCAGAAGCCAAGATGGCTCCAAAACTCAAGGACAATCCATCTTTTTTGCGTTCTCGCGTTTTCGCTCCCGATGGGCCTCGGAGGCCTCAAGATGGCCCCAAGACGGCCCAAGAGAGTCGCAAGGGGGGCCCAAGAGAGCCCCAAAAGAGCCCCACGTATGCCCAAGAGCGCTCCAAGAGTGGCCCAAGAGGGATTGAAGACGCAAATGTTGAGCCTCTGGGGGGGGGTCCTGAATGGATGACCCCAATGTTTTTGAGCCATGGGGGCCAAGACGGCCCCAAGAGGCCTCCCAGACTGCCCTAAAAAGCACCAAGAGGGCCCAAAGACCCCCCCAAAGGAGCCCCAAGAGAGTCCAACTAGTGCCCCAACAGGCTCCGCGAAAACCACAAGGAAGACCCAATATGGCTCCAAAAGGCCTCCGAGAAAACACTTCCAAGGCGGTTGTTGCACTGCATGCTTCTGCACTTCCATGATCAAGGCATCTGGTCTGGCAGTCTGTTTCTGTATGGGCTGGTGGGGATACGCGAAGCGTCACGACTTGAACTTGCACTGAGCAAGAGAACGGCGCGAACAGAAACTCCATATCCCTTTTCTCGGGTCTGTGCTTGGGTGGGGGGGTCCAGCGCCGATCCAAGAAATCCGCGCGGATCTGCCAAAGTTGATGTTTACACAATTATATATGCCATCTAACTTTGTTCGGCGACGAGCGAGGGGGGAAATGAGAAACATAATGCCTTCTCATCAGGCTCGGAAGCCCCCCGGCCTTCTGAGAGTCTGTCTGAACTTCCCCGAAAACAAGGAACACTTCTTAGAAGTCCCGCCATCTTCTCAGAAGGCCTTCTCCTTCTCATTTCCCCCCCTCGCTCGCCGCCGAATTTGTGTCGTGGAACCTGTGTGTGTGTGTGTGTGTGGCCTAGGCCCGCCGTGGCTCGAAAAGCTCCCTCGGTCCTTCAGAGAGGGGAGGGAGGGCAGGGTGTAGGACGGCCGTTGAGGAGGAGGAGGAGGAGGAGGAGGAGGAGGAGGAGGAAAAGGAGAGGGGGAGGAGGCGATGAGGATGATGATGAGGATAGGATGAGGATGATGATGATGATGATGATGATGATGATGAAGATGATGATGATGATGAAGATGATATGATGATGATAGAGATGATGAGGAGGAGGAGAGGGAGGAGAGGAGGAGGAGGAGGAATTAGGAGGGTAGGGGGAGGAGGATGAAGGGAGGGGAGAAGGAGGAGGAGGAGGAGGAGGAGGGGTAGGAGGAGGAAGAAAACCTTCTCCTTCTCGCTTCCCCCCCTCGCTCGCCGCCGGGTTGTGCCTCACGCCGTGCGCTGCGCGCCGCGCGGTCCTCCCCGCGCCATCGCGCCGCCCTCCCGGGAGCAGGGCGGACCTCACGCCCAGACCGCGGCGCGCGAGACGCGGGCGACCTTCGCGTCCCTGCGGGCCTTTTTGTTGTTGTTGCTATTGTGCTTGTTTTGCTTTTTTTTTTGTTGTTCTTCCTCCCACTCGGAGATGTACGAGGGGGGCGTCCATGTGAAGACGCCCAGGGACACACACATGAACACACACACACACAAATCCCAGGATCCCCCATATGTTCCATATTTTCCGGATTCTCGTCTTCTCCCCCCCACTTCCCATATTGTCCCGCACCTTCCCGGGAGTCGACGATTCGTTGTGTGCTTCTTCCCCTCCTGATCGATCCCCGACCTTGAGGGAGTCCCGACTGCACAAAACAACGGGGGGTCCAGCTCGGAGATATACTCGGGTCGGGCGAAAGGGGGGGGGATAGCAAAGGGGGGGTTTGAGAATCAGCTCACGTAGCTGATTTTCCCGGCGCCTCCCGGCGCTGGGAGGCGGCTATGTATCGAGGAATGGGCCCCTCGGTGGGGCCGAAACCAGCTGCATGCAGCAGATTTCGTACCCCCCCCTTTCCCCCCCCCCCTTTCGTTCGGCCCGATATACGAAGGGGGCGTCCCTTCGCGTCCGAAGAGCCTCCGGGGGGCACTTCCCCGAGTTTCCATGCTCTTGCGAGCGCCCCGGCGCCCAACGCCCTCGCTTCCGCAGCCCGTGTAGGGCCGCAGGAGACCCTGGAAGCCTTGCAACGCATCATCATCATGGCGTCTTCCCAGACATGCTCCTCCTCCTCCTCCTCCTCCTCCTCCTCCTCCTCCCCCTCCTCCTCCTCCTCCTCCTCCTCCTCCTCCTCCTCCTCCTCCTCCCCTCCTCCTCCTCCCTCCTCTCCTCCTCCCCTCCTCACTCCTCCCCCCTCCTCTCCTTCCTTCTCCTTCTCCTCCTCCCTCCTCCCTCCTCCTCTCCTCCCCCTCCTCCTCCTCCTCCTCCTCCTCCTCCTCTCCCTCCTCCTCCTCCTCCTCCTCCTCCTCCTCCTCCTCCCCCTCCGATGCCCAGTCTTGTCCGTTGCCGGGCCCCCAGAAGTCCCGACCCTGTCCTCGGGACCGGCTTTTTGCATCCCGTGTCGTTTTGTTGACGGTCCTGGGGACCGGCGAGAGCCCCTGGAGGCCGAAAACTTGAGCAGGGGCCGACCGTCCTGGCATTCCTATAGTCATACCACGAAATGTTCTTAGAACCTGGAAATGTTCTAAGAACAAAAACAATGTTCTTAGAACATAAGCCCGATGTGTTAGAACAAAACAGTCCCAGCCAGACATGTTCTAAGAACATCTCGTGGAAACCACAAAAGGTTCTTAGAACACTGTTTGGTGGGGCTATAGGCGAGCCGGGACGCTTCGCCACTGCTTGAAAAGCGGCCAGACACCTCCCGCCCTGCTCTTGCCACGAGGCGGGCATGCTCGGGTCGGGCGAAAGGGGGGGATAGCAAAGGGGGGGGTGAGAATCAGCTCACGTAGCTGATTTTCCCGGCGCCTCCCGGCGCCGGGAGGCGGCCATGTATCGAGGAATGGGCCCCTCGGTGGGGCCGAAACCAGCTGCATGCAGCAAATTTCGTACCCCCCCCTTTCCCAATCCCCCCGTTTCGCCCGACTCGATTTTGCCACGAGGCGGGTATGCCTGGGCTGCTCCTCGGACCCCGAGGGCCGCCTCGGTAGTGGTGGTGGCCGGGCGCCCCTCTGCGGCCTCGGTGGCCCCTCTGCGCTCCAGAGGGCGGCCGCCCACTTGTGCCTAGGGGGAGAGACGGGGAGGAGGGAGAGGAGGAGGGGAGGAGGAGGAGGAGGAGGAGGAGGAGGAGGAGGAGGAGGAGGAGGAGGAGGGGAGAGGAGGAGGAGGTGGAGGAGGAGGAGAGAGGGCAGGAGGAGGAGGAGGAGGAGGGGGAGGAGGAGGAGCAGTCCTCTGGGCCGGCTGGCCGGCGGCTCGCAGCTCTCGGCTCGCAGCCCCGGCGCCGCTCCAGCCGCGCGCCTTCGGGCGCGCGGCAGAGGCACGGAGCCGGGGGCGGCCTCATTCGCTGGGCCACTGCGGCTGGGCCCGGAGGCACGGCGGCTGGGCGCGGCCCGCCTCTGGGATGCGGTCGGGCATGTCCGCCTACAGCTGGCCATCGCTCGGACGTCCATTCCCTGTGTTTTTTTTCGGTTTCGTGCGTGGTTTTTTCGCCAAATGATCAAGGGGATGCTCCTCGATGGTCCTCGCCGAGGAAAAAACGTACACGTCCGAGCGATGCCAGGACAGTGTGGGCGCGGCCGCAGGAGACCCTCGCAAGAAGCCCAACCCCGAGAACCCGTGCGCGTGGTACACCCGAGGGGAAGCCAGGGGCACCCTGAACGCAGCAGCGCCTTCGGCGGCCACGGAGAGTCACCGCGCAGCGCGGGGAGCGAAGAAACCCCTGAGGCCCTGACGAAAAGCATCTGGTTTCTTGATGCGCGCCCCCACTGTACAGGCGGGTTTTGGAAGTAACATTCACACTAATCACAACACAACCGCAAACATAGCCAAACCTAGTCGAAGCACCGCCCCCAGGCTATTTTTGTTTACTATCCTTGAGTATTCCCCCTGTAGAGGGGCACGCCCGACACTTCACCCTGGAAGAAGAGCAAAAGCTGCACCAGCATGCGCCTGCGAAGGCCCGCGCGGAGGTCTTGGATCGGCGCTGGCCCCCCCCTTCCTGGCGCGCGGAGCGCGCCAGCGGCTGCGCCAGAGGCGCCGCCAGGTGGGCCCAGCGCAGACCCCAGAGATCAGCGCGGGCCTCCGAGAGTCTGTGCTTGCGCAGCGTTTTCTTCCTCGAGTCTCGCCGCGCCGATGCGACGGTGCTATCTCTACAGCTCTCTCTGCCGGGCCTCGGCAGAAGCGATCATGGCCCATTCGAGGCACGCGGGGCTCCTGAGGGGCAAACCTGTCCTGAGGCCATGGGGTCTCCAGAAACTCGCCCGAATGAGAAGCTGGCGCTGGGCAAATCGGGAGCGGCCAAGAGGGGGGTGTGCAAGAGGGGGGGGTGCAAATCATGACCGGCGGCATGTGCGCGGCCCAGCGGGGGGGCCAGGGACGTAATGGAATAAGAAGAGGCGCCATGAGATCTGGGGAAATATCATGGCCCCCGCCATGATATCCCCCCCCCCTAGTCATCACCCCCCTCTTTTCCGCCCCCGAGCAAGGCCCCCCAGGTTCAAGGCCCGTTTCCCTCAGGACCGGTTTCGTCTCGTGCCGACCCCTGGGGTGGGCTCAGGGCGCTTGCTGCCTGCGGCCCGGCTCCTGCCCGGCGTGGGAAAATACGGTGGCCAAAACTGGTGGAAAATAACTATTGGGATCGGCGTGGGGCGCGCCCTACCTCTTGGCGTACGAGATGGCCTTGTTCATGATGGGGATGTCCACCTCGACCACCTCGATGGCCTTCTTGATCTTGGCCTCGAGGTCCGCCGCAGACATGGCCATGTACTTGTTGATCTTCTCCTTCGACTTGGCGTCGCAGAGCTCCATGTAGTCTGGGCCACAGGTCGGCCCGAGGTTCTCGCTCGCAAACTTCTTGAGCTCGTCGTAGTCGCGGCCGCCCTCGTAGTCCTTGAGGTCGCCGGGGTCGCCGTACTTGATCGTGGGGAAGCCCTGGACCCCATGCGTCTCGCACAGGTCCTTCCCCGACTCGGTGCAGTCGACGTCGGCGACCAGCGAGGTGGTGGACCCCTCGAAGTCCTTCATCAGCTTGTCCCAGGCGGGCTTCATGTTCTTGCAGTGGCCTCACCAAGGGGCCTTTGGGAGGGTTGTCATGGGGGTGACCTGCTGGGAGGGTGGAAAAAAGGGCTCTAAAAGAGCCCTTTTCGTCACCCCCTTCTTAGGTCCCCCCCATTACCACCCGCCCGAGGCCAGGAACTTTACGAAGACGGACTTGCCGCTGGTTTCCGCGTCCCAGTTGGAGCTGGTGAGCTCCTTGGCCGCGGTGCCGATGGTGAGCGCCGAGAGCAGCACGAGTTTCATGGGTTTGGCGCTCGCTTCCCTGTGTCGGGAGGGGTCTCTCGAGCGGTCGGGTGCGAACTGGGCGGCTGAGCCAATCACGGCTTGACACCCAAACGCACGGACCTCCTCCTCCTCCTCCTCCTCCTCCTCGTCCGCCTTCTCCTCCTCCTCGTCCGCCTCCTCGTCCTCCTCCTCCTCCTCCTCCTCCTCCTCCTCCTCCTCCTCCTCCTCCTCCTCCTCCCCTCTCCTCCTCCTCCTCCTCCTCCTCCTTCTCCTCCTTCTCCTCCTCCCTCCACCGCCCGCGTCCCGAGCTAGTAGCAGGGTCATCAGCTCGTCGTTGTCCTTGTCGTCGTGGTCATTGTCGTGGTCGTTGTCGTCGTCCTTCTGGGTCGGCGGCACCGGCCGAAAAGGCCTTCATGATAACTACATCACGCACAGGCGCCAACGGTGGCGCGAACAAATTCATCTCTCGTGGTGCACGCTGGGGGGCCAACGCCATGCGACGACAGTGGGGCAAGCCCTGACGAAGATCTTCTCCTCTCGGCGAAAGCAAAAAGCGCTGGCCAGATGCGTGGTGGTGTCAGACTTGCGCGCTCAGGGCAAGCCTTATTACGTGCACCACCATGCAGCAACCTCCCTCCCAATCCCCGTTCCCATCTTCCTTCCCATTGTTCCCGCTACCCTTCTCTTTTTCTTTCCTCCTCCCGCTTCCCCTCTTCCTCCCCCTGCTCCTCCTCCATCCCTTTGTCCTTATACATAGCTCCTCCCTATCTGGTCCCCAGGAGTGTTAGTAGGGCGGGCCAAGCGATTCGCTTGATACTTCCTCACCAGCTATGATCCTGAAACTTGAATGCGCAACAACTTCGCGTATGTAGGGGGGGCCGTTTTCAAAATGTGGCTGTCACCCCAGCGCAGCGCACATTCGTAACAAACGTTCACAACAGCTTCACGGATGAAAGGGGGGGGTCGCTTTCAAAAGGTCGCTCTCGCTTTGGCGACGCGGACATTCGCTTCAAACTGCCACAGCATACCAACGGCATCAGTACACGTGGTTTTGAAAATATTGTTCTTGCCTTCGCGTCGCATGCACTCTGTTTGAAAAATTGCACACCGTTTCGCATATGGTGGTTTCCAATACGTGGCTGGCGCACTAACGCAACAAATATGCATCTAAAAGCTTGCAACAGCGTCACGGGTGGAGGACGACTCCTTTTCAAAGCGTGGCTCTCGCCTTAGCGCTGCGCACATTCGTCTTAAACGCTTGCACTAGCTTCGCTGATGGAGGGAGGGTGGCTCTCAAACCGTGGCTCTCGCCCCGGCGCCGCCCGCACTCGTCTGAAACGTCTGCGCGAGCTCCGCGGACGGAGGGGGGTCCTTTTCAGCACGAGGCCCTCGCCCCAACGTCGCGCGCAGTCCTGCCAAGACGCCTGCACGAGCTCCACAGGTGGAGGGGGTGCCTGCTTTTTCCAGAATGGGACTCTCGCCTCGGCGCAGCGCGCATTCTTCTCACGGGTTGGCGATGTCGACGACCCACTTCTAAGACCCACGCTGGCGACGTCAACGACCCACGTTGGCGATGTCAACGACCCACACTTCCAGATGCGCAAAAGCGTTCGCGACCCGCGGATGGAGGGTGGGTCGCTTTCGATGCGTGGCCCTCGCCCCGACATCGCGTGCACTCGTCTTTCACGTTGGCGATGTCGACGACCCACTTCTAAGACCCACGTGGGCGGTGTCAACGGCCCACGTTGGAGACGTCAACGGCCCACATCTCCAAAATGCGCAACAAAACGTTCGCGACCCACGGATGGGGGGCGGGCCGCTTTCGAAGCGTGGCCCTCGCCTCGACGTCGCGCACGCTCGTCTTGCACGTCTGCGACCAGCTGCACGGGCGGAGCAGGGGCCGTCCTCAACATGGCACCCCCGCCTTAAAATGAAGTCGGGCCTGTCCCCCTACAGGGGGATTTTCGCCGAAAAATAAAAACATACCCCAACAATGGTCAATCCAAACATAGTCTGGGGACTTTTTTTTGGTTGTTGGAATATTTGTTTGACCTTTTTGGGGTATTTTGGGGGTGTTTCTTTTTTTAATATATTTTGGCGAAAATCTCCCTGTAGGGGGACAGGCCCGACAGAACCTTAAAACCAAGCACATTGACTTCACAACTTTGCACGAGCTTCACCGGTCGATGGCGGTTCCCTTTCAAAACGGGGCTCTCGCCTCAGTGCCGCCCGCATTTGCTTATCAATCCAGCTTTTGGCAGAATAGGAGTCTACCCTTTTTCAACATGAAGTTCTCGCCAAGGATTTCGTCGCTAATTTTCAAAGCCCGAAGCCTGAACGCACGTAGTGCTGTACGTGTCCATTGCGGGTCTTCTTCAACGAGGAGCTGTCGCTTTAAGCTTCCTCGACGTCTATGGCCACACGAGTAAATTTGTGCAACGCGTGTGCGGACGGGGGGACAGTCCTTGTTCGAAGGTGGATCCCAGTTGACACCTCGTTGCGCTGTGTGGTCACTGTCTTATCGCGGTCCTGACAGCGCATCAGCAAGATGCAAGGCAGTCTCTTTTCAAAGCGGTGCCCTACCCCAGTGAGCTGGTGAGGAAGGGGAGGAGGAGGAGGAGGAGGAGGAGGAGGAGGAGAAAGGCAATGAGGAGGAGCAGGAGAAATGAAAATGAGGAGGAGGACGACGATGAGGATGACGAGTCGGAGTCGGAGTCGGACTCGGAGGAGGAGGAGGAGGAGGGCTGGTAATCTGGGGTTTTAGGAGGCGGGGACGAGGGACGGGGAGGGTGTGTTGCAACCTCTCGTATGCTGCTTCGGCTTCCTCCGGTCTCCCTCCTCTTCTCCCCCACCCCTCCCCCTCCTTCCACACTTCCTCCCCCTTCTCCTCCTCCTCCTCCTCCTCCTCCTCCTCCGCCTCCTCCTCCTCCTTTACAAGACGGCAGAGAAGATGGGGGGGAAACAGACCAAGCACCGCAAGGCGCTGGATCTCATGGAGCGACAACATTCAGCTGTTCAACGGAGGAGGAGGAAGAGGAGGAGGAGGAGGAGGAGAAGGAGGAGAAGAGGGAGGAGGAGGAGGAGGCGGAGGAGGAACACAGGATGGGACAAAAAGAAAGACGCCGCCTGCTCGTGCGGACTGGCCTTCCCCAGCAGTCTGTGGCGGCACGGCCCCAGCACCCGGCTCAAGGGGCCCCCCCCGTGGAAGTTCTGGTGCAGAGTGCACTGGACGCAGCTCGTGAAGGCGCAGTGGCACCATCCAGAAGACGAACTCATGAAAGAATGGGCGGATTTGCCTTCCCCATCAATCTGTGGTGGCCCGGCCCCAGCACCAGCTCAAGGGGCCCCCAGTGGAAGTTCTGGTGCAGAGTGGACTGGACGCAGCTCGTGAAGGCGCAGGAGAACCAATCCAGAAGACGCACTCATGAAAGAGTGGGCGGACGAAATGAAGGATGACTTCGGCAAGGGCAGCGAGAAGCGGCCAGACACCGGGTGCAAGTCGATGTTCCACCCGCTCGAGAGGGGGCCTTCAATGGTGGTGTAGCTCAAGGGAGAGAACTGGGAAGCGTTCGCAGCGGACAGGCTGCCGCAGAAGCTAGACGACGCCATCAAGGATAACCATTACGAGTTCTACGACGCCGCCCAGAAGATGAACCCAGAGGAACTCCTTCAGCTGATCCCAATGTCCTTCCCGATGGCGTACAACGTCGACGGATGCGCACTCATCGTAAGGTGCTTAATGGACGCGTGGAAAAGAGCTGGAAGGAAGGCCTTCGCTACGCAGAGCTGGTGTGAGTTGGCGCTGAAGATCTAGAAAAGCGACAGGGAGAACCTCTACAGCGTCATGAAGGTCGCCTTGAAGGACTTGAGTAACGAGGACACACCCGACCAAGAGGAAGTAACAAGAAAAGGCTCAAACACCGTCGCGAGGTACGAGACAGCACGAAGACCTTGCTGGATGGTACCGAGATCTCCGAAAAGTACACCCAGTCGGAGGAGGCGGCCAGCTCCTTGCCGCAAGTGAGAGAGCCCACTGACAACGCCAAGAGGTGCATTAGAGAGGATCTCTCGGAGCCTCCAGGCAGGCAGGACGGGCAGACTCAGTGGGACCATCACTAGCGGGACCATCTCGGCGTGAGGACCCTCAAGACAGTGCTCGCACAGACAACGTCTCGGGATCTTTTCTGTTTTCGGAATGCCGACAGGTACGCTACTGCAGGGAGCGAGAAATGGAAAACATGTGACAATCACGAAGGCCACCAGAGCGCATCCTCGTGGGCCCCACCTCCAACATACTGCGAATAGCAGTATGCTCTTCCCTACCTGCACTTCGAGGGGGAACAGTGGGATACGACTGCAGGGTATCAGGGTGCAGATGCAACAATGCATGGGACAACATCGGTTAGTTCGCTGTGGAAGAAAAGTGAGCCGAGAAAGAGAGAGAGAGAGAGAGAGAAAATAGGATAGCATAAAACCAATCGGATGAGGAGGCCCCCCAACGGAAATTTGGAATTCATGGGCCTCCCGATTCTCCTCCTCCTCCTCCTCTCCTTTTGAGTGGTCGTGTCGTCGTCTCTTCTCCCCTAGCTTGGGAGCCCTGCTCGCCCAGCGCGTCCCCACTTCCACGGGCACGCGGAAGGGCCAGCAACTGCTCCCCCCGCACTGACCCGCAGGGACTCGTACTCACAAGGTAGCGAGCCTCTCTTACGGGGCCATCCCGGAGCTCACCCCTTGCAGCTTCGGGGTATGCCCCCTGCGGGCCCTAGTGAGAAGTCAGGGCCGTTGCACAACCAAATCGCAGAGGATTTTGCCAGAAGCGCGCAAGCAACCAGTCTAGGTGTGTTGACGTTGACCCCCTTTATGCGGATGTCCTGTCCTGTCCTGTCCTGTCCTGTCCTCCTCCTCCTCCTCCTCCTCCTCCTCCTCGTCCTCCTCCTCCCCTCCCCCTCCCCTCCTCCTCCCCTCCTCCCCCTCCCCCTCCCCCCCCTCCCCCTCCCCCTCCCCCTCCCTCCTCCTCCTCCTCCTCCTCCTCCTCCTCCTCTCCTCCTCCTCCTCCTCCTCCTCTCCTCCTCCTCCTCCTCCTCCTCCTCCTCCTCCTCCTCC